GTTCTTCTTCACTGATGGGTATAGTTAACTACTAATGAAAAAAATAAAAAAAAATAATTGATTAGAATGAATACTGATATCAAGGGCGAAGGTGTGACTTTTGAACTCATTCGTTGTTGATCTCCGGGTACCAATAGCTAGGCGACTGATCTGATTTTGATAATTTTCGCTTACTCTTACTTCTTTTTTCATACCACGTAGTTAATTGTGAAAAAACCGATGCAGCATTAGCCATTCGAATTCTTAATTAAGCATCAAACACGTCTAGTTCAGCAGATTTCTCGAAACCAAACAACTCTGAAGCCAATATGAGAATAGGAAGTAGATGCAGTAGAAATATAGGAACAGGTCATCAAATTTCATAGGAGTAATGAAAGTTCGAAGGGTCCCTTTCACGTATAATTGAAAAATATTGCCGTTAAAAAGGCGTACCTTCAGGCCTAGAACTAAAACGGAAAGATTTTCATTCGATCCGCATACTTTTCCTGTGGTAGATTCCATGAAGAGCTGTTTCCACATGGGATCGACTGGTTTCCATTTCCAACTGAACAAGTCAAATTTTTTAAATCTTTTCTCATATAAGAAATTACAATTCGCAATCGATGAATTTTAAATAATAAAGCTCACACAAGTTATTGACAATTTATGTAGCTACACGAGAGGTCGAGATAATATTATATCTTGATGAATTTGGAATGGCGATCACAATATTTGTTTAGATTTGAGCGTAGACAAAGTAACATAAAATGTAAATATTTTAATTATTAAACAGCTAAATACTGACAGGTGAAGCAAATTTTCTAAAAAAAGGTTCTTGCGAGCCCAGATTTTTTTATAATTTTCTTGTGTTCGAAAAGTCCTGGCCTATCGGAAGTGATAATTCAAAACTTTCATACACTATTCTACCATATAAATTCGTAAAGTAAGACTGTTACACAGAAAAAGCTCAAAACAATTTTAATCTGTTAAGGTCTACACGTACAGAGGTCCAGGACAAGCCGTACACCCGACGTACAGGTGAGGAAGCTCAATTATTTTCATTTCTGATTGCAAATCCCGATTGAAAGATGCCCAGATATAGGGAAAAGGACCAAGATAAGAAGTTCTTTGACACAACAGAGGGCCAATTACTTATCTTCCCAGGCCCCCAGACCTCTCAGCCTGGATTCCCTAAACAAATTCATTACATAGATTGTGCCCCCAAATTTCTCGATTAACACTCCTTCCTGCATCTCGTTTCGTTTCCTATCTCAATCTGTAATAGTTCAGTTAGTCCCTGAAGACCTTAGAGAGCTCTCCTCTTGTAACCGTCAATAACTGGGAACCGGAGATTACTGGGATCCACACAAAGTAATGGCTACGCACAGCTTGTCTGAGACCAAGAAAATCACTGGAATTCTTTGAAATTTTTTGCCCTTGTTTTGTTTAGTGATAAACAATGAAAGCCATTTTGCTTCAAAAATCGCCTAGCCTAACTTTGAGAAGATCGGTTGCTTCAAAACTTCTGATTATTTTGAGACATACCCTTTCAACAGTCAGTAGTCATTTCTGACAGAAAGATGTTCCAGTTCGAATTTGGCGTCGAATTCTGCTGAGCAATCTGAGTACGAGTCAAATTCCGTGACTGAACCAGAAACGGTTGGCAGTGTCTACGGAGGAGAGGTGAAATCGTAAACTCCAGATAATAGTCGGTACAGGTACTACTTTGTCATTTTTCAGTACCCAGGCGCTGTTGAGGAAATTTACACGCCTCCACAAACTGCTGCGCCAACTCGTCCAACTACGACACCTCGTCCACGACCCACAACAACTCGTCCGCGTCCACAGACAACTACTCCAACGACGACACAGAAACCAATGACAGCGGCGATCACTGCTCAATCGTTGACACAGCAGGTACGGTAATAGTTCCCAAGCTACTGTAGCTTGGGGGTGGATGAGGTGGATGATGTAATCGGTAGAGACAAGGACATATGTTCACAACGGGTGGTGTGGTATTGTTATCGCTAAGGTGTGGATTGCGTCAACGATTAGCGCTCGAGCGTATAATCTACGACGGATTAACTCCCGGTCAGACAGGTGTACCATTGGATAGGCCGCGGACTTCATGAAGTCTTTCAAGTCGGGTAGCAAAAGCCGCAGGGACTCCTGCCTGATTCAGTTTCTCCCAAGTAAGGAAGCCCTACTCTATTACTGGCTGCTGTGCTGGGTATCTGATTTCAGTGGTACCAATGACGATAAGCACAGAATCTAAGCGATCTAAGGGCTAATCTCTATCTCTTGGACAGGTGTCCGAATTAACAGCGAACAGAGTCAATTGGTACATAGCTCCAAGAGAGACCAATTACGTAACATGGATGAGCTAATAAGATCATATGGGAAGGTGTGTAATACTGAATACAGATTTTTCTTGAGGTCATTCAAGAGCGCTCCTTTATTTTCATTAAATAATCTCGTAAACACCACCAGGCATTTTAACGGCTTCAAATACAATAAAAGTTGTAAAGATTATCACGAAAAAGAAGCAAACTTCACAGAAAGCATCCTGACCTTTCAATGAAACTTTTGAAGAAGGCATGTCATTTTGCAAGTTTTTTTTTTATTTTTTTCTATTTCTTACAAAACTCTTGAAATCCCCTTCAAAACTTCAAAAGGAGGACGTACGGCTTTCATGATGTTAATGAAATATCACTATAAAGTATTAAAACAAATAAAATTTAGAAAAAAGGAAGTTTCCTTGAAGGCAAGTTTCGGTGTGAATTATTAACACTCAGATAGGCTTCCAAACAGAGCAGACTAAAAGGAGATCAAAGGTATAAAGTTATACTCGTTTTAGACTTTTGAAAAATCAATTGTAAAGCGGTAAAAGCGCCGCCTCTATTCGAATATATTAGAAAATAGCAGAAAAATCCTCTTAGGGCTCCATTTCTGGACAAAAACTCAATATTCACAAAATAAAGTTACGTCATTTGGATGATCTCACAGAGCCCTGCAGTTTTACCTGATGGCCAACACACTAACGAAAAAGCGAGGAAAAGAAAATACAAGAGAAACACGATAGAAGAGTTGGATGGGACAGATCGATAATGAAAGAAATGGGGCGGCTATGGTGGCCAACAACTGGCCGAGTAGATCAAATGGGGCGATCATTGAAAAAGTCCCCAAGCAAACTCATCACTGAAACTGACCCCAGCTGGCTACACTGAGCCTTGACCCTACAAGCTGTGGTCACCTTATTGTACTGTCTGATTGAATGGACTCAACTTAACTGCTTACAATTACTCCCAAAGCGGCCACTATCAGCAGTTATGCTGATCAGCCCCGATCAACTGAATCCCAGCTGGGTGGCAACTAATCGATAGCGAGACCAGGCATTGACCAACTGACGAATCAGGGGAGGCAGAGAAAGTGGAGCTTAAACAACCTATATAAAACTTCGATGAAGTCATCTTTGTCATTGGAGTTAACCTCTGTCATTGTCTAAACTTGCCATGAATTCAAACCCCTGCATGGTTCCACCCAAGGTCCAGTACATGGCGCGATTTGGAAGACTGTACGTTACTGGTCACTTTATTCCATTTTTTTGCGTATGTCTCTGCCGTGATGTAGCCAATCCTGTTTAAAATTATTTCAAATTGTATTTTGGCTTTTTTGGTCCCAAGTATCACGAATAAGTTGACTATGACGATCACCTTATGAGCAATAGCTCGGTACATTCAAAAATAGGAGCTATAATATCAGTCCGTTTGTCAGATCCAATTAAAATCTTTTCCCTCAACCATTTTCCTCAGGCCTTTCAGTTCAGGTGCTGCTTGGACTAGTTGCTACCATATCCTTTACTTGAGCAATGCCCACTCCTCAGTGCACACACCGATCACGTATTTTAATGTGTTTGTAAACTTGGAAAGGAGCGAAGTACATGGCGCACTCCGGAAAAGGCACCAATGTCAATCAAAAATCAATTTGTTCATTTTTTGAAACTTATAGTTTAGATTCGACGTCTACCAGCTGTTCTCTATTTGGATTCACGTGCTGAAGGTAGCGCCGAGTTGGAAAAGTTACTTCGTGATACCTACAGTCTTCCACTGGTGGCGTTCTACGTCGATAAAGTAAACTTTTTTTTGGCACAGTTTCAAATCAATAAACATTTTATAATTATGTATAATAAATAATACTAGGATTCATAAAAATATTAATTATCTTTTGAAGTAATAACATAGATAATTGTAAAGATATTAATTATCACACGAAGAGAAAAACCTACCTTTTTCAGATCAGCAAACCACAGCTGGCTCAGAAATACCTGCACCAACTGACTGCCCACAAGACGTTACCGTACTTGTTTATCTGCGGGACCTTCATTGGAAGTACGTTTCTTGAGCTTTCACACGAAAACTCCTTTTCTCCATAACACACTGCCACGAAGTACTGTACTTTTCTGAGAATTTCCATTTTCGAACCATTTCATTTTGATTTTTTCTTTCTTTTATTTTTCCGTTCTATATACCTCCATTACCAATCTTCTCTATAAATGATCCCTAATACAAATGCTTACTTTGTAAAATTTTGTCTATTGAGGTGAACAACATATACAGAACTACCATAAAAACGGTCAAATACCACAATTGGTCGAATACGTTTGTGGTGAGGAACATAAGAAGCCAAAGAAGACCACTAAGAAGACGACGAATTCGTAGATCGGTTGATGTATCGATTGATTTGATTGGTTCAGATTTTGCTTCAGATTCTAATTTATTTTTCAAGAGAAACCCATCTTGAAATAATATGTATATCTATGCCAGAGTGCCACTATGAGGCCTTTATAATTGCCTGTACATCATTGAATTCTGCTGAAATCCCCTCACCATTACGGACCTCTTCTTTTGTGGGCAGAAGGTTCATTTTCAAGAGTTGTACTGTATATTTTACTTTCTCGGTACTTCTTTTTGTGAATAGCTGTTGGTTTATTGGTTAAATAGTTATAATTCTGTGAATGTTCCGAAATAAGTCCTCACCATCGTCTCCAGCTCATCCTACTGTTCACACCCGCCGTAATCCGCTTGAAGAGCAGGTGTCAACCAGGACACTGACGACCGTTTTCTTCTCGAGAGACCAATTTCAGTAGCGTTCCTGAGCCTGAGAACGAAGGAAGGAAGAGTAGATGGAAAAAGAACTTCCTGTGGGAAACAGTCACTCATTGTGTCTTCTACTTCCTAGGCCCTTATCCTTAGGTGTCTCTCACTGGTATTAGACCTCCCACAGGCAGGTTTGGCTTAAAACCCGCTGGCTTCCTTAATCCATTCGAACATAGCCGCGTTCCCATCTTGCCAGGAAGAGGAGAGGAAAAGAGGCTTTATATGTATGCTCGTCCCAAACCGATACTCCTTCTAACAGCAGGATGCCTCCTATGCATCCTTGACCCTACTCCTCAGAGAACTTGTTTGAGTGTTCCGATAGAATTCTTTTGTCATGTTTAATGTTCCTGCAATGAAGAAACCCTAAATCAACGGCTGCTAGACCTGAGTTACTAGACGCGAGTCAGGGTCTTCAGAGGTTATCGAATTTTCCACGACTGCTCGAGTCTTCTGCCTACCGGCGTATACAACTCGGAACCGGTATACTTGTAAGCTTTGTATCCTAAGAACTTTTAGACAAGTTCCAATTCACAGAAATGGTCTTTAGCACCCTTTCTGGCTCCAACTCCAGCTTCCAGTCTTCACATCAAGCCAGGCGCACCCCAAACTTGATACGACTTGGAACCGAAGCTGGAGACACGGCGAAAACGCAAAGATTGTAAGTTGCGAATCTCCCTACTTGTTTAGATGACTAATTCCCCACAGAACCCATGCGAACAACCGTCTTCAACCGGCAAATCATTCCGCGAGGTCATTAACGGCGCTATTGAATTGCCAAAGAAATTGTAACCGGCCAAGGGGAATAATAAAAACCAATGCGACGATCGGCGGACTCAACGGGATATCGGACCGTATCTCATCTGATAATGAGGGTGCGAATGAGAACGTGTCGGGTGGCGCAAAGAACTCCGCCACTTTGCGCGCCGGTTGGCCCTTCAGTCTCAGAAAGGACTAGAACCAGCACCTAACCTAATACAGCGTAAAGTAAATCTTTTAGCATTATTTCCTAGGGTTCTCTCCAGACTACGACTCCGCATTTACGCAGAGTTACTAGGAACCAAAGCAGACCAGTAATCTGAAGGGGAAAGGATATTATAGGGGTCTACATAATAAAAAAACACCTAATATTGATCGAATCTTCTTCCCTCGCTTTCTCTTTACTCTTTTTTCCACCGCAGCTCTTCAAAGTACATATACCATCTCCTCTGTCGCGTATTCTGCCGCACAGACTGCACCTCGGGCAAAAAAAAACAACAAACTGATCAATAATCTATATACATCCAAAGAATCAGTCCATCAATAAATCAATAAATCAGTCAATAATGAAAACAGCTACTGAAATTAGGCACGCAGACACATTATTTGGACAGTTTTAGAGGTCAACGACACCTAGCCACACGACACATTCGTGTGCATTCCTCCACATCAAAGCCTCGGCATGATACTCGTAATCGTTCAATTAGCACGCATGAAGGATACTGTAGAATTACGGTAGCATGAAATGGAATTCGAGAAAAACAATTTGGACATCGATAACCAGTAGAATAAAAGAAATGATGATGCCATAGAAAAAACAGTTGTTTATAGGCTTACTGTTTTGATCCTGTCGTTAGACAGGCGATACAAAAACATGCTTGGCCGAATGCTTTCATACAAGGAGTAGGTCCTACGGCGAAATTGATCGGCCCTGGTGAAAGAGTGAAGGTGTTTGTTGACTGGGATGATGGCGGTGGGGGACCGATAGGAATGGAGATACGGTCCTCGCCTCGTAGTGCGGCCACCTGCTTCTGTAGCTCATGGTTTCGTATTGTCAGCTGGCGAATCCTGAAAGTACTGTAACATAGTGAATCGTAGGAGTTTTCTTGAAGTTGTAAATCATATGGTTCTCCTGAAAGCCGAAAGAAGTCAAAGACTTTAAATTCGTTCGTCTGTCTAGACTCCCTCTCATCGAAAAACTCAAAAACATAAGGAAATACTTTGAAAGAGTCAAAAACAGCGAATAGCCTTCAAATCTTGAAAGTGAGATCCTGATATGGATAGAATTGATCGTACCAGTTGCAAGCCAATAGAAGAGTATTGATTTTGCTCATTTTACGTGCCGATTGATCCTGAGAATACGGTAGGCAGCTGCGTAGTTCTTCAAGAGCTTCATTTAGATCGTGCATCCGTTTTCTTTCTCTGGAGTTGATTGAGGTCCGTAGAATATTCTGCTCCTAAAATTAATACCGTAATAAACACATGTGGTAAAAAGTAACACATTTCATCAAAATCGCAAGTGAGGATTCAGCCTTTGTACGGAATATGCGACAAAAAGGGCTGTGTTCTTGAAATTGGGGTGAGGTGAGATGAGGTTCACATTTAAATGAAGAGAAAAGGGAGATGCAAGAAATTCATAAACTCTCGAACTTTTCAGGTGAGCTCCTACCCATACCCCAATAGAGCCTTCTTCCACATCTCGTTAAGGTCGATAGTTCGAAGCCTTTACATGAGTCAAATAGGCATGAGATTATGAAGTAAGAGAAGGAGGTCGTAGTGCAAATGGGTGCTCTAACGGAGCCATTTCTGGCAACGTTATGCTTCACCTTCATCACTGAACTGTTTCCCGAGGAAGAAAACCAGCAAAAATGTTAGGAAGATTAAAATGGGTGAATCACAGCTGGGAACGCTGTAGCAGTGGTGATATTCAGAGTTCAGCCTATAGGCCGACTGTAGAAGGTAGAATTGCCAGGAAATTTATACATAAAAAATTAAGTCCAAGCAATCGAGAACAACCGAAAATTCTGCCTAACTATACTATATCTATAGCCAAGAAGTGAAGTTCGAATAGGTCGTTCAGCTTGAATCGAAGCTATTGCAATTCAAGAATCAAATCTGCTTGAAAGATCTTTCCAAAAACGAGGTATAGTATTTCTCCAAATTCGTACCGTACTCTCTCCCCCCCGACCCCTCCCCCCCTCCCCCTCCCTATGCATTCCATTACACGATTTTGGCGACCAAATTAATCAATCTCAATCAATCAATCAATCTTTTTTTCCCAGCTCCATTATTTTCCAACATTTTCCGTCTTCTCTGACCATTTCATACGAAGAATGAATCGAGTTTCTTGTTCCATATTTTTTAAAACAATTCTAAATCTCTTTTTGGCTACCTTTACACTCTATTCCTTTTATTTTAGAAAAACAAGCACCCTAGGCACTCCTAATCGTCATCCTTTCTACACAGCATGTAAACCACTATAGTTTGAAGCGTATTAGATGAGTTAAATTGGGTAAAAACAAACTTTCAAAAAGGTTCCTAGAAAATTTAGGGATTCAAGCACTGAAATAGACATGGTGGATGAAGAAATCAGAATATGTCTTATCCCATCGAACCTTACCTCTTCATTAAGAGCAAGTAGCCTGCGTCGGTTGGGCTCCGTCGAATCTGAGCGCTGTTTTCGAACGTATGGCTCCAAATCTTCATCACTAAGCAGAGCACGCTGAAATCCGTGAGTAATTGACTGTTCGCCCATAATTCACCAAGAAAAATTATCAAAAATCTGAAAAAAATAGTTGATCTTTAGGTAAACTGATTGAAAAGTTAAGGATCACTCAATTTTCTAATAAGATCAGTATACAGTAACGGACAAAAGATGGAAATAGAAGTTCGATCGCAGTAAAGGTGCAGAAACTAAACGAAAAACCAAAACAAAATCACTGGTGAACAAGTATTGGTGAATTTTCAAAACAACACAGTTTTGACCATCTAATATTCTCTGATGTAATGTGTAATGTAAATTCTTCGAAACTATAGTGGATTACATGAGGAACTATTTTTACGGTGCGAATCCATGAAATTTCCTTCAGAACTATCAAAATATCGTTAATAACCAACAACACTTTTAAAAAAACTAAATGGTTTCCTTTAGGATTTTCAAACTGTGTACCCTAATTTGGCCTCGATGTTTAGCAATAATATGCCTAAATAGTCTAAGACTTACTGATTTGAGGCCTGGCGAAGGCGTGCTCATGCCGTACAAGCAAGACCTTTGAGTAAATTACAGTGTTGCCGAGGGGCGGGGTCGACACGCCCTCACGGATGACCCAATTGGTCGACGTCTGGTTACGAGGCTGTCAGCTGCCAATCATTACGCTTTCCCTTCACCCTTTTTTGGAAAGTCTAAAAGTTTTGCAGTTTTTAAAAAAGGCGGTAAGTAAAGGTCTGATAGGCACAGAGATTCACTGAATCATCTCGATTTGTGAAAGGTTTATTTTCTTGCTACTTATTTTTTCATTTATGTAGTTCTGCTTAATTAACTTGAGATTAAACGAGATTAAACAGTAGTATAGATCAGCAACAGTTTACGAGATCCATAAAATTTGAATGTCGAGATACCTGCACAGCTGAACAGTTCTATTCTTCTTAGTTGCCTCATTTCATCCATTCTGTATTACCTATAAAGAAGGTACCGTTCCAGCTGCACACACTAATGACGTAGTCAAAAATTATTACCGTGATCTCAAATTTCATTCAGCAAGCCCGCTACGATGTCCGAAGATGCCACCATCGAAGTGGGTTTGTATAAGCATATGAAGAGTGTGCAGGAGTGTGTAGGCGAAAATCGAATTGAAGCAGAATCTGGGGCTCTGGTCTTGATTTGAGCTTTCAAAATCGCTTGATCTTGCTTGGAAAAAACGTATGTTTCAATATTGTGAGTTAGTTAATAAATATGCTTTCACTAAAAAAAAAGCTAAAATTCCCAAAGGGTGATGCACAGTTATGTAGACAGAAAGGTTCAAGTACGAAAAAAAGAAGATTAATCACGATCAAAGTTTATAAAGCGTGTGTAAGGGCTGTAGATGTTGTATAGACCCAATCTCCACTTTCCTGAATGTGAGCCGAATCTAAGGCGTATACCAGGGGATCTGTCGAGCCAAATATACTCCCACTGAATGAAATATTTCAAGAATCTGTCTTGAGTTGAAAGTGATGGAAGATCAAACTGCCTTCCCGGCCTGAGTAATATAAATCGATATTTTCTGTCCTCTTTCTTAACTTTCGAGTGTTTGATTCTAACAACGAAAAACAACACGTTTCTTATTTTTGCGGATTATCCTCCAATAAGTCACTGTTACTGGACTCTCTCTTCTTCCAGTACTCTCGACAAGACTGAAAGGCTGAACATTGCACATAAGTTTAATGAACTCAGAGAAGGGCCTTTTTCAGAATTCTCTGCAATTTCGAATATTCGATTCGATTCAAAAAAATATGGCGTTTTTCATATTTGAGAACCATCTAGTTTCCAATAAACCTTTCATACTAGAATTCCTCTATCCTGTCGAGGCTAATTATTGCGCACTACTAATTCAAAAAGCTCAAAAGAATAACTAGATCTTAAGTGTCTAGCTAAATACAGGTTGATAGCACAAAAGATCGAAGACGATGCCAAGCATTGACGTTACAAGCCCCATCATTTCACCATGTGCCCCGCTGAGTGTCCGATGATAATGAGACGCCTTAGCATAGCCACAAAAAAGGTCATACAGCCCATACGTCAACAACCTTCACTCTATGCACACATATTCATGAACCTATTTATGCACCTTCGTAGAATATTACAGTAACCCCAAGGGTTCGACACTACAGTAATCAGAAACACTTTTCCTAGAGCAAATAGCCTGACTGTCACGAACCTTATTCAATCTCTTCACCTTTTTTCAACCTCGTTTGTTTCCCGCACAGTTTCCCTTCAAATCATCAGTCATCCTTTGAGCTTGTAAATAAATAAACACATAAGAAGCCACAATCTACCAACTCAAGTGACTAGAAGAACGATAAAAGAAGAACGTTGAGGTTCCAAGAAAGTTGAGCTCTACACCCCTCTCCTGAACGCTTCCTTCGAATTACACTATATGCGGATCTTTCAAGAAACAAGATGATTTAAAAACGAAGATTCCGGAAAAGAAAAGAGGTATATCAANATGAAAGAAAAAGAAAGACCACATTGGCATTCCATCGATACGTGCTAAAAATTATATAAAAAACCGATTGGTACAGAAATTCAGAAAAGAAACATTATTCTTTTGAAAAAATTTATCGTTGTTCACCAGTTTGCGCCATACATACTGTCTCTCGTCAAAATCAGGGTCCTAACCTGATACTTACGGAGTATTCACAAATATACATTTATTTTATATTGAAAACTATGAAAGCCTTCCAGCAGCTTATCAATGACACAATAAAAATACTTGTACAAATTGTTAGCTACACTGATATCAATCCCCGAAACGTTGGTACTCAGAATGGCACGTTTTTCTTATTCGTCATCTTCATTCGCACTTCACGATCTGATCAGCATTTGGGTATTTTGGCAGTAACAGCCCGTGCTCCTTGGCCAACTGTTTTGGTACAAATCGTCCGCCGACCTGAAAATTTCAACGGCAAAAATAGGAAACCACATCCCCGTCGACCCCATGTGAACCACTCTCAAACTGCAAAGAAAAACTTACAAAATGTGGTCCAGTCCAATCTCTGACGCATAATTTCGGCGCTGTCAATGAGATAATACCATGTGGATGAATATATGGACCTTCAGACGGAGCACCATTTTCCACATGCCAACCTTAATATCATCCTATTATATGGCATAATGTAACAGTATTCATGTTTAAGCAGTCTCCAAAAAATATATTAGAGCAGAGTAAAAACCTAAGGAGTAAAGCTTTCTAATAAGTAACAAAACAATTGTCCAATTCTATCCACTCGTTCGTATGGAATCACCCGTGAACGCCCTATCCGTGGGCTTTCTGTTGTGAATCAAGAAATCGAATCTTGAATGATTGAATAAAAATCGATTTTGTCAATAGCATGACTACCTATTTAAACCTATGCGGACCATCAAACTTATAACTTTGACGAAAGCTTTCCAATCCTTTCGTTCTGGCCATGATTTTTCGAACCCAACAGAGACGGTACGGATTTGCTCAGCAGACTGCGCATTATCTAATTGAGACGCCCACTGACTCACTTGACCGCCACCCAGAGGACTGTCGACACAATTGGATCTGTGCGCTACTGCGGCAGACGCACATACTTGTTGCGATTAGAAATCGCTTAATTCGATTACCTTATGGCACACCATAATGCGTTATGACTACATAGAAGGATTAGCGAAAGGATGGGTCATCTTCGCCAAGAAAAAAATTGAACAAAACAAAGAACACTACTCGACAGAAAGGGATAGAAAAGCGTACGGTAGCAATTTTGTAGATGTCAGATGAACGGTATACAAGCTAATTTTAAAGGCAACAACCGACATCGAATACTCTGATCCTCTCAATAATACTCTTCACCAACTTGCACTAGCTATTATCTAGTATTGTGTGTAAAATAACTTCATTTAAAACTCCCATAATAAAATGGCCTCATAAGAAAATAATCAAAAATAATTATTAGGTCGGATAATTCTACCAAGTTTGAGATCATAAGAAGAGGAAATTCAACACACATCTTACTCACAATTTAAATATGTTAGTTGGCAGAGGCTTAAATCTCTAACCTGAAGGAATATCGATGGAGAAGACAAATATTCCGGACTTTGTTACTGCCTCAATAATCTCGGCAAACGGCTCTCGAACTGGTGGCTTGAACGAGAATCCGAAAAATGCGTCAACGATCAATGAAAATTCACTCAACGTAGGAAGTGACGACAGCACTGGTATACCTGAAGAAACCAATTGAAAAAAGAAGAGAAAACATAGGTAAGTCTCAAAAATAGAGTACTGAGTATAAAGCTGACTCTTTACCCATTCCAGTGCACTGCGTTACCAGGGCATTCATTAAGTCCGTTTTCGACGGTTTCGGATAGAGAATGACTGGATCGAAACCCTAAATCTTCATCATTACTCAGTTTGATCGATTGTTACTACTCGGTTTCTGCTACTTGGATGTATTCTTTTTCGCAGAAATGCTGAATTTTAGTCACAATCTTCTGTCTCATCACTTTCAGCTGATTTTGTGTCCTGCATCCTGCGACGGTGCGGGATTAGCGCTGGACAGAAGGTCAGTGATCAACAACAGTTGTTTTTAATGGGTCTGTGAATGAAATTTCGAAATGTCTGTCTGCTGATCAAACAGGTGAACATAGTCAGACAAAAAGCACTTCAAACAAGAAGTTATGCGCAAAAAAATCGTCCAACCAAATTATATACCGCTCGAAAAGTTCTGCTTTCGGTTTTCTAAAAGGTTCAAGGAAAAAGATAAGAACAATAATTGAGTCTGACAACGCCTAAAATTTCAGTTTCCGGCCACCATCGGCTGAACCTTCAGTCACCATATTTACGTCGCAGTGAATATACTTTTCCTTCGGAATAAGCGCCATCTTGCTTATAAGGAATATTACAAGTGTAAAGGGTAACGAGCAAGCACCCGCAAGCGCGCGACATGTTCCACATAAGAAGTGGTGTGTTTCGTCCAAGGCGCAGCACCTTGAAAATCCTTTTATGTTCATTCTTTGGCAGAGGCTAGAGGCTATCTCTCGAGCGGCCTGTACGAAATCAGAACAAAGGAGCAACAAATCGTTCACCTATGTCACATGTATGAGACTGGCTTAGGAAGTCAAAAAAATCGAGAGAGATCTTCTTTGAATCGGTGTTTTCATTATTTTAGTTAGAAACTGAACACACGGCGTACCCGCAACGAATGGACTAAAGGCAATCACCCATATCCTCAACCAATGCGCAGAAATGAAGGATTGGGACACCACCTACTCAAACACAATCCGAAATTTGACTTCTAAGAAATGGTTAGTAAAATTTACAAAGATATATCACATCCCTTCAACTCCTCATTTTGTTCAATTTTCTTCGGGAAATAGCACAGTCTTGAAATCTGGTTAAAGTTTTTTGACGATAAATTCTCACGT